TGGAAAAAGGCAAAGAAAAGTCTCAGACATTTAAAAACCATCAGGACAGTGGACATCTGATCAAGTCTTCTAAAAGTTTTATGAACTGGCTACACACATGACAGTTGTAAATAATATAGCTGAAAGGGAAATCAGTCTTATTGAAAATTACAATGACACACTGAGAAAGAACAAGGAACAGAAGCAGTTTATTATTCGATTGATTTCAAACCATCACAAGAATTTCCAAACTTCATCAAAAAAATCACTTATGTTCTAGATTATCCACTGCGAAACAATTTATATAAAAACTGCATATAAAATTCTATAAATACTGTCAAATTTCAAAACTAAATTTTGAATTTGTAATTTTTAATTATAACTTTAATTTCTTAATTTTAATTTAATTTCAATTTTTAGTTTTAAATCGATAATCAACATTTGAAAATAACTTTTTTACTTGAGATTAAGTAAAAACTGTCAAATGGGTTAACCTCTAAATATTATTTGTTTTCATAAAAATTTTTAACAATTGTTATAATCATAACAAAGAACAAATATAACACTGTGGAGAACTGAAATCTGTTACTTTGTTTTTTTGGACCATCCTAATTTATATATATATACATATATATATATATATATATATATATATATATATATATATATATATATATATATATATATATATATATATATATACATATATATATATATACATATATATATATATATATATATATATATATATATATATATATATATATATATATATATATATATATATATATATATATATATATATATATATATATATATATAAATACAGGGGCTATTCTAAACCGTTTCTGACAGTGTCAAACATATTTAAAATTTGCCGCTCAAATTAAAAATTGAGGCCTTTTTTTTTAAATATGTTTTTTTTACTCTGATATTTAGTAAGAACAGATTTTTTTTGTTACAGATTTTACTTGATTTACAGATTTTACTTGATTTACAGATTTTAAAATCTGTAACTTTGGTTACAGATTTTACAGCAGATTCAATTGATTGAGAGTTTAGAAGATATGTAAGTGGCAAAACCTCTCCAGACTCTTTTGTGTTCATCAGATCAACAAATGAAAAACTAAATGTAGTGACAGGTTCCACCTCAATTTGACATACTTTTACTAGGTCATTCCAACATTTACAATCTTCATAATTGATTTGGGTTTAATCTTAAAGGGATCCCAAACTCCCAACACATGTTGTGTTCATATTAAAAATAATGTTAAAAAAAAAGGTTTGAACCAAATTTTTTTGATTAAAAATAAATAATGAATGCATACGGAGAAAAACAAATGTTGTTGTTTTTGCCGAAGCTCGTCTTCTCCATTTTTTTCAACTAATCGGAGTCTTTAAATTATGCGTCGCAATCCACAGACTTTGGCAATTCCTTTGAAGCGCGTTTAATTCATAAAAGTTTTAGTATTTGACGTCAAGGTAGACTTTTAACAAAAGAAAATAAACTAAGCTGCGTTTTTCTACTGTAGTATTTTTTTAACTTACAGCAAAACAAATTTATTTGTATTATTTTTCTAAACATCGCAAAAAAAAATTTGTAAAAAGAAAAAATGATAAATTATTTTTATTTTATAGGAGCAACTTGTTTTTTACAGATATCTTAATAATTTTTCGATTTATATATCTTACTTATATTTATTTTGTTTTTAAATTAAAACAAATATTAAAGCTTTACTTACCAATCTTATGATTTTCTTACAAGTATTTTACATTATATAGAACATTATATAAACGGTCTCTCGTTTTTGTGCATAAGAGCGCAGTATTATATAGTCTAAATCTTCATTAAACAATCAAAACTCTTTTCTAACTTCTCTGGTCAAGTTTTTTGTTTTTCTGTCGAAAAAAAGTAATTACAAGCAATTGCTTTCATTTAATTAGAGATATTTGATGAACTGTTAAATTTTTTTATTATAAAAATTTTTTGATTACGCTGATTAAATTTAAATTGCTGAACTTGCTAAATTGGATATGGATAAAAAAAAATAACCAAAAAAACTTCGACTAAAAATAAATAAAAATATTTCCAGAGTTTCTTTTGTTAAAAGTCTACCGTGACGTCAAATACTAAAACCTTTATGAATTAAACGCGCTTCAAAGGAATTGCCAAAGTCTGTAGATTGCGACGCATAATTTGAAGACTCCGATTAGTTGAAAAAAATGGAGAAGACGAGCTTCGGCAAAAATAACATTTGTTTTTCTCGGTATGCATTCATTATTTATTTTTAATCAAAAAAAATTGGTTCAAACCTTTTTTTTTAACATTATCTTTAATATGAACACAACATGTGTTGGGAGTTTGGGATCCCTTTAAGGACAAATTTTTTTTTTTTTTAATTTTCTTAATTTATTAAACACAGTTTATTACTCAATAAACTGTGTTTAATAAATTAAGAAAACAAATGCAATAAACTGTAATAATAAACTTAATTTATTATTACAGTTTATTGCATTACCTACAAAAAAACCTTGTTTTTTTGTAGGTAATGCAAATTAAAATTAAATTTTTTTGTCTTAAAAAAAAAGTTGTTACCATTTTGATAGATTGTTTATGATGTTTCAGATGCAGTTATTCTGGGTAACTCTGAATGCTTTGCGCTAGTTTTAACTCTACGTAAAATTTTTTACATACCAAATAAATATTTTTGCATTAAGGGTGTTCTGATGATATCCTTTTTCTAGATTTTTATAAATTTTTTAAATTTGCTAGTTATTTTTTAGGAAAACAAAGTTTTAAGGTAACTTTGAATACTATTAAACTGAATGTCAATTTTAATCATTTTATTCTAAAAAGTTGTTAAGATTTCTTTGGATTGCTTTATATATATATATATATATATATATATATATATATATATATATATATATATATATATATATATATATATATATATATATCACAAAGTTCATTATTTGTACACGAAAATTAATAAATTAATCAAAAGTATTAAAAAAAGTTGATTTCCTTCTGGACAAAACAAGTGAAACTCCACAAAATGTTGACCAAGCTGTATTTCACTATCAATATTTCGTGGCAAGTCCTTTGATGTCGATCATAGCCTTGCATCTTCGAGGTATAGATTCAATCAGGTGATCAATCAAACTTTGTGGAATCGCTGCCCAGGCCTTTTGGATTTTTTCAAGCAGTTGATCCTCATTACAAACACCTTCACGATTAATTTTGCGGTTGACGATCTCCCACAGGTTCTCGATAGGATTGAGATCCGGAGATTGAGACAGCCAATCCATCACCGATAGATGGTTGTCTTGAAACCACTGCTTAACTACTTTTGCAGTGTGTTTTTGGATCATTGTCTTGCTGAAAAACCCATTTTATTGGCATATTCCATTCAGCATGAGGTAACATAACATCTTTCAGGATATTTTTATACATGAAGCGGTCCATTATTCCATTAATTCGATGTATTGGACCTAGACCGTTAGTAGAAAAACACCCCCAGACCATTACATTGCCTCCACCATGCTTCACGGTCTTATGGAAGTAACGTAAATCGAGGCGTTTTCCAGACAGTCGACGTACACAGCAAATGCCATCGCTCCCAATGATGTTGAACTTTGATTCATCAGTGAGCAGGACAGTTCGCCATTTCTGCACATTCCAGTCAATATGAGATGTAGCAAACAGGAGTCTTTTCTTCTGGTTCTTTAGTGAAATCAGCGATTTCTTTGCAGTGCGTCGAGAAAACAATCTGGCTTCAACAGCACATCATCTGATTGTTCGGTCCAATACAGGCAGCTCTAATTGCTTTTGTATCTCGACTGATGATATCCAGGGATCCTTCTTGATGGATCTGACAATCATAGATTTCTCTCTAGAAGTGGTGGAACGCAGTCTTCCACCTTTGTTATCTGCTGCCAACTTCCCCGTAGAACAATATTTGGAACATAGTCTTGAAACGGTCCATTTTTTCATGCGATTTTTATCACAAATATTTTTTGTGACATTCTACTTACATAATCACCAATAATTTTTTTTCTAAGTTCCAATCCAAGACTGTCGGGAGCCATTTTTGCACTTGAAGTCATAAAAATAATAAAAATATATAATCACGCTTCTCAAGGCTTAACGTGTTACATTTACCTTGCGATAATAGAATAATGCTCAGTGGAACACAACGTCTTGGTTGGATGTGGACTGTATTGATGTAATGAAACACTTGTTGTATTTCACTTCTTGTATTGATGTTCTTCGATAAAACACTTAGATAAAACTCACTTGGATAAACTGTCTTGATAATAGTGACTGATTGACTTCCATATACTGACTGAATTACATGTCGGTTTACATGTCTCTTATATAGTAAAATGAACCTGTGTGAACCTGTTCTGGAAGATTCTAGGATGCTTCTTTTCGACGCTTCTGGATGTGTCTGGATGCTTCTGAATGCTTCTGGATGCTTCCAGATGCTTCTTCTGGAAACTTCTGAAAGCTTCTGTATGCTTCTAAAAACTTCTGGAAACTTCTGGATACTTCCTTTAATTATTAAAAATCTTTGTGATGTTGACACGGACCAGACTTAAGAAAATGAAACAAACTAAAAAAGTTGCACTTGTTTTGTCCGCTGCAAAATGGCACTTGTCAACATATATATATATATATATATATATATATATATATATATATATATATATATATATATATATATATATATATATATATATATATATATATATATATATATATATATATATATATATATATATATATATATATATATATATATATATGTATATATATATATATATATATATATATAAATATGTATATATACATATATATATACATATATATATATATATACATATATATATATATATATATATATATATATATATATATATATATATATATATATATATATATATATATATATATATATATATATATATATATATATATATATATATATATATAGTTTAAAATGACTGTATCACAGGCACATCCTTTATGCTATGTATCGCATACAGAATCAAGCAACGCATTTGGTCATTAGTCAAGCAACTGGTGCACCTCCCACATTTTTAGGAACTTTATTTGGCAATTGGCTTGTATTTACAAAGAGATTATTTGATAAATATGTGGTACATAATTTTGAACTTTTTTTTTTCTAAAGTAACAAATCATAATTTAAAATAATTATTTTTGTTGTATATAAATTAAATTTGTTATTATGGGTAAAATAATTTTTTGTATTTATTTAGGTATTTGTTTTTTTTTTAATTGTTTTCTTTTACTTTCAATGCATATAAAAAACTGCATTTAAATAAAGACAACAACAGTTTGAAATTTCCATTTTAAACTGTTTTTATAGTTTGTAATTGGATTATTAATTATTATTTAATATTATTATTTGTGATTTTCTAAATTGCATTCTCATTAGCGATCTTGGTGATTTTTTGAAATATAGATTTTTAAAGTTACTTCTAAAAGCTTTCAGATTTATATTTAGGATTCTCTTTGTGAAAAGATAAGAGAAGGCAACAAGTCAACAAAAAAAAAGCGATCAGGAATTCTTACAGATGTTACAGTTGTTGAGGTACTCTTGTACAATAATGATAAATCAATTTTTAAATTTCAGATGATACCTTTAATGAAAAAAAATTCATTAGGGTTGTTTTATATAAAATCATTCCCAAAAACATTTTCATCATGCTTATGCCTCAGAATACATTGATTTTTATTTGCAGTTCAAAAAATTGATAAATATTTTGAACTGCAATTGTAACTAAATATACAAATTATGGTGATTCAGTGATTTTATTGTAAAGAACCTAAAAAACAACATTTACATAACCCCAATAGATCATGTAATTCAAAAATCTTATAACTTGATAGTTGTTTATATATAAAATTTTTGAATTGATTAAAATTTTGTTTTATAGAAATTTTGTTTAATGACCAGAAATTATTGTCACAAGACAAAAATTTAAGCATAAATTTTGCTGCCACATTTCTATTGTTCTCACATTTCTACATATTCAACATATTTATTTTTTTATTATTATTTAGCTATAATTGAAAATTAAACAAAGCACTAAAATTCTTTTTTAAATTTATTTTTTACAAAGTTTTTGATATATCAGTCAAAATCATGTTTCAAATAACATTATACTAACAAACATTGATGTTATGTTTCTTATTATGTTTTTTTGAAATTGATAATTCAAACATATTTACTTGACTTAAAACAATTAATAGTTTTCAAAACTAATATGCAAATAGGGTGAGCATGTAATTAGTGATCGACTGAAATTCTATTTTGGTATCAAAGTTTTGGCCTTTTATAAATTTTAGTTTTGGTACATTTTATAAATTTTAGTTTTGGTACCTTTTATAAATTTTAGTTTTGGTACCTTTTATAAATTTTAGTTTTGGTACCTTTTATAAATTTTAGTTTTGGTACCTTTTATAAATTTTAGTTTTGGTACCTTTTATAAATTTTAGTTTTGGTACCTTTTATAAATTTTAGTTTTAGTACCTTTCATAAATTTTAGTTTTGACACCTTTTATAAATTTTGATTGAGAAACATATCGAAATCAAAAGTTTTGTATGAATTTAAATTTTTATTTAGTTTAAAAAAATAGTTATTTTTCACAGTTTCCACAAATTATTTCACCATTTCTAAATGAAAAATTAAGCCCATCACTTGCAAATTACCTAACTTTTTAGTTAGTAAATAACATATATTCATCTGCTTCTTAAAAATATAAAAATCTCACATAACATCAAATAACCAAACCATTAGATTGCACATAATATTTTGAATCTTGCACTAATAACCTTTTGTTTAGAAAAAACAAATTTGATTTTAACAATTTAAATAGAATATGAACAAGGATAATATTTCATGGATGTAAGCTTTTACTTATTTTTATAAATTCTTTTAATGAGTATTAATTTACTATTTATATAAGATGGAAAGTATTTGTCAAAAAAAGTAACAACAAAAGTAAAATAACAGCAAATCTAAATAAACATCAAATGTAAAATTGCATTTTTAGATAAAATTTTCTGAAGAAAATAATTTTGTATAACCAAAATTACAGTTTTAGTTTGGGTAAAATGATTGCTGAAATGTTTGTTTCAGTTTTGGTATTGAACCTGTTTTGGTATCCCAGAAATTTGGATTTATTTCAGTTTCAGCGAATTTCCTGTTTCGGTTGATCGCTGCATGTAATGATGAAATAAAAAATAATTTGAAACAATAAAACTAAAAAATAATTCAGTATTGTTAAGATTTAAATATATTTAAAATTAAATCAGTTTAAAAATAGTTTACTTTTGTTTTATTTAAAAAAACAAAAAACAATTGGAATGAATAGATAAATAAAGTGTGAATGAATTGATAAATACAATATAAATGAATAGATAAATACATTATGAATTAATTGATAGAACAATATGAATGAATAGATTAATGCATTAAGAATTAATGGATAAAACAATATGAATGAATTGATAAATTTTATTATTAAAGTGTTAAAATGCAGTAGTTTTGTAAAAGAATACATAAAAAGAAGTTTACAAAATTTAACTAAGTTCTTGCACACTTAAGTTTTTCAATGTTTGTTTATGTTTTTTTTGCCATTAAATTCAAAAATTACTTTTTTTTTTTATTTTTTTTTATTTTGCATAATCAGTTTCAAACTAATATCAGAAGGATAGTTAAATATTGCACTTTTTAATATATTGAAACATATTTAGTCATTATTAATTTATTAACAAAAGGTTATTAGCAATACAGTTCTTTACTATAAACTCCTCAACATTAGAAGCGCTTTAAAGATCACAATTTTTTTGAGTGCAAACTTTCATCTTTTCTGACCGGAGACCATACATAATCTCCTATCATAGCAGCATCCCATAAGACACTTTCTATTTCTTATGATTAGGACGGTAAAAAAGTCATAAAGAATGTTATCGTACAGAAAAACAATTATTTATGTATTAATATTTCAGTTAAAATATTTTTTTTTTTTTAATTTTTATTTTTGTTCAAAATGGCAACAAAACAGCAACAAATGTGTGATGCACTAAAATACAAAACTACATATAAATGGTCTGTACTATCAAGAAAAAGCATGAAATCAAGTCCTTCAAGATGTATAAAGCCCTTTTCGTGCACAACTTTTTTTAATTTTCGTGCACAACTTCTTGCCACTAAATTTTCTCTGAAGAAAATTTAGTGGCAAGAAGTTGTGCACGAAAATTATACAGGGTATTGTGTTGAAAAAAAAAGTGTAAGTATGGATGATTAAACTTATGTGAAACAAAATTTTTAACCAATTCCAGGGCATTATTTTTATATTGTATTCTCCAGAAAAAAGTAAAGGCTAAATTTAAAACAATAAAACTAATGAAATTTCCCTAAAAATTATGGTCTAGTAAGTCACATATCAATGTGGATTGAACACACAAAGTTTCATTGCTAATTCCACAATAAATAGTAAAATTCATCAAAAAGATTCCCTTTAAAAGCACTTATTGCTACTGTGGAATGTCCATGATGTTAGGATTTTGTCAGACAAAAAATGAATCTGCTTTTTTTTGTTTATAAATTTAGTCTGCCAAAAAACTGTTGGAGTAGACAACATTCTCCCTAAAGTCCTTAAAATGAGTTTTAAATCACTCTGCAAGCCTTTATCAATATTATTTAACAAGTCTCACAAATCAAGTATTGTTCCAGACCTTTGAAAAAAGCAAACATTATCCCCTGTATATTATCTTTTTTATGTTGGTGAATTGTGCATGTTGAAAATCACGTAGATACGTGTTGAAAGTCATGCGTTATTTCAATTATAATTTAAAGTATTCTCATGGGACTTTTTGTTATTTTATATATATAGAGACGATTTTTGTATAGAATGAGTGAGGTTAAAAGAAAGCTATAAAGTAATACATTTTCTTTATTCAATTCATGGATGCGACGAACCAACAAGCTATTTCGGCAATTATGCCACCGGTATTCAATGGCAACCATCAGCAGTTTGTCCGCCAACTACGAACATACATAACTGCGATGGACGTACCCGAATCCAAAAGGAAAACAACAATATTAACATGTTTGCCACCACAGATTTATTCTGCACTGGAAGATTTATGCTTGCCTGCATACCCAGAAGATGACTCAGTTACCTACGAAGACATCGAGGAAAATATCATGAAGCTTTTTAAACTAAAGTCATTGTTGATACTACGCTTTGAATTTGCAACTATAAAAAAAGCAAGTAACAAAAGTGTGACAGAATTTTCACTACAAATCGCAAGAGCTGCTGAAGGATGCAAATTCACAGATAGAGATGATCGAATGCGCGACCAATTCATCACGGGTTTTAACGATGGTGTTACAATCAAAAGATTATTACTGGAATCTGAAGAACTTATGTTTGCAAAGGCTGTGGAAATTGCTGTTACCCTTGAATGAGTAACACAGGAAGCTCGACAGTTAGATGGTTCCGATAATGTAATGATTGGGGCAACATCGTTACTTCCGCGGACATCTAGTGTGTCCGACACGAACAAAGTAACATGTTTCAATTGTGGGAAACTTAGACATTTTGCACGGGACTGCGAAGCAAAATGCAAGACTTGTTCACACGATCATCATGCTAAAGACTGCTTCAAACGATTGCAAAGTTTAAAAGGAAAAGGGAGAATTTGGAATTAATGGCATCCAGTATTCTCCCAGAAATGACATTGTCATCATTAAAAGTGAAAATAAATGGAATGCTCCGAACAGCATTAATTGATTCTGGATTCCACGCATGGTCTTGTTTTAAAAAGTCAAAAAATTATCACAAATTTGGGAGGAGCTGTGCATGTGCTGGGTGAAACGGTAATCAAATTGGAAATTGATGGAATACACCGGATTGTCAATTCTCTGGTTGTAAAAAAAAAACCATTCGGGTTTAATTTGATTTTTGGAATGAATGCGATTGAAAAATTTGGAGGAGTCATCATTTATGGTAATAAAAACCGTACTGTCCGAATGTTAGCATGTGACACAGCAAAATGTGGTGCCGTTACTACAACGATAAAAAACAAAAATGAAATAAACAAAATAAAATGTGATGTCAAAAATACCGATGAAGAAAACAAAAGAAATGAAATAAAATGGGCTGTTACTACAACGATAATAAACAAAAACAAAATAAACGAAATAAAATGTAGCGAAGCATCTGCATAAATTCAGGTTACAATGAAAACCTCCTCAAAATCTTGAACAAGGGCTTGTCTTAGGATTGAGAGTCGAAAGAAATAAAAATGGGGAACTGATATGGAAACGAGACAATGAAGTACAATTTGAACCTTTAAATGCAGTCACACGATCACAGCTTTTTAGTAAGTTAGGTAAACTCATTGGACATTACCCAGTGGCAGGAAGTTTGCATTAACAAGCTTCATACATCAAACGTTTAGCTGGAAATATTCCTTGGTGTGATTTTACTTCAGAAGATTGTAAAGAAAAACTGAATGATTTGCTTCACCGTGTGGAAAAGGAGGATCCGATTGGTGGAAAATGGTTGGTACCAGTGAATGGAAAAGCCAAGCTTTATTGTGATGCATCATCCATAGGACTTGGGGTAGTTCTGCTCATTGGTGGAGAAGTTGTTGAAGACGCAGCATGGCTACGGCCAGCAAGTGACACACACCATATCAATATAAGTGAAGTGGATTTGATACTTCGAGGACTAAACTTAGCTAGTAAGTGGGACATAAAAGAGTTAACAGTATACAGTGATAGCAAGAGCACCGTAGGATGGTTAAACGCAGTTTTAAAGGAAGAATATCGCATAAAAACTCGTGGAATTTCTCTGTTGTTAGTACAAAGACGGTTAAATACTATTAAGGAAATAACAAAAGGTATCCAGATTGTAGTACAATGGATTCCATCCAAAATAAATTTGGCTGGTCGACTCTCACGAATCCCTCAAAAATGGTGCAGAACAGTGTGAACAGTTGGATTACCTGAACAAAAAGACATGGAAAATTCATTCGATTGGTCACTTTGGTGTTGCTCGAACATTACAACTTTGCTTGCAATAACCAGTATGTATCACGTAAGGAGGTTTCAGCAGTAATAGCAAATTGTAACCAGTGCAACTCCATCGATCCTTACTCTGTACAGTGGAAGCATGGTCAGCTAAGCGTAGAAAAAAATTGGAATCGGGTTGCCATTGACGTGACACATGTAGGTGCTGAACTGTACTTATCGATGATTGATTGTGGTCCATCACAATATACAATATGGCGTAAACTAGTAACTAATACAGCTGCTGAAGTTGTTGGTAAACTTGAAGAAATATTCTCTTTATTTGGACTGCCGGTATATCTTCTAATGGACAACGAATTTTGGTCCAACACGTTAACAAGCTTTGCTGATAAATGGAATGTTAATTTGGAATATCGAGCAGCACATCGAACTCAAGGTAATGGTATAGTTGAACGCATACACAGGACGATAAAAAGAACAGTTGCTCACTCACATTGTTCAATCGCTCTGGCAGTCTTGCTGTACAACGAGACAATATCATCCAATTATATTGAGAGTCCATCAGAGCAATTCAAGAAAAAACCAACTTGTTTCATCCCAGGTATCGATATTCGGAGGAAAACAGACGAGAAAGGCTTAAATACGAAATTCAAAGAGGGAGACAAGGTGTGGGTAAAGCCAACTCAAGAAACAAAATGTGACCAACTGTGGATACCAAGTGTAGTGTGAAAGCAAAATACTTTATCGTTTGACGTCGAATATGCAAATCGGGTATATCCGTGTCATATTTCACACCTGCGTTGCCATACAGACCTACAGAGTTGAATCAGTTTACAGACTAAAAGACTAATGAATCTAATCTACAGACTAAAAGACTAATGAATCAGTTTACAGACTAAAAGATAAAAATGATAACACTTAAGGAAGATATCACGATGATGTTACTCAAATTCAAAATGATTCTGAAGAACATGTGCTGCAAGTAACACGCTCCGGATGAACAGGAAGGCCCCCACAAAGATTAGACTTATGAGTTAATTCACCAAGAGGGCGTATTCTCTTTTTTATGTTGGTGAATTGTGTATGTTGAAAATCACGTAGATACGTGTTGAAAGTCACGCGTTATTTCAGTTGTAATTAAAAGTATTCTCATGGGACTTTATTATTTTATATATAGAGAGACGATTTTTGTATAGAATGAGATAACATTAGTTTACAAAACAATCTTAATATTTTAAAAGAATAGACAGGTGACTGGCAGATAAAATTTGGTACGCATAAATGTATAGTAATGCATTTTGGAAATAACAACCCTAAATACAAATACAAAATTGATGAAGTTATACTAAAGAAAGAATTTGGTTAAAACTTTTTTGGTTATATATATGTTGCTGCAATGCTATTCTAATTGTGGTCTGTTCTTTTTTTTTTCTGCTATTTTCCTACTTGTCTTGCTGTTTCATATGTTCATATGTTTGTCTTGCTGATTCATGTTAAAAATGCTCTTATACATGGCTTATCATGTGAATCTTTAATATTGACTATTTTATTTTTTTTTACTTTAGAGTATTAAAATTTTTTTTATGTTTTGGTAAATGTATAGTTGTTATTGTTTCCCATAAAAACCATGTGTATAGTTTAACTTGTAGTTTTTAATATAGATTTTAAGCTTGTTGTTTAAATTTAAATTTTAGAGTGTTAAACATAGTTAGATATTATCCTGTTAGAAATTAAATTTAACTTAGACATACCATAAATAAAATAAAGAAAAAAAGTAAAAACAAAAAAAGTTTTCTGTAAGTAATTAGTCCTGTTACTATTCAATATGGAGCCCACGGCAACCAAATAAAATGTCACTGATAATTTATATTCGATGTCAATGTAATTTTTTAATTCTTTATATTTTTAAAATGTAAGGACTGTGTGTGATTTTAATTAATATATGTGCAGTTATTTATTTATTATGGGACTCCAAATGAGGCAAAAATGATTTAATTTTGATGCTAAAGGGTGACATAGTTGGATGATTTAATATAGAACAACCCAAAACTTACTTTATCTAAACATTTATAATATTGTTAATCTACTAATTCAGTTTTAATGTCTGCAAAACATTTTACAATTGTTTTTTGCAGCAATTTTTCAAATCTTCTGAAAATATATTTCATGGCTCCGAAAGGCGTGGAGAAATTGACAAAGCTTATCAAAAGCTCATTAATGTATTAGTTGACAAGATTTATTCAGTTGCGGAGACCAATGACAAACCTCCTCCTGAAATTGTGATGTTTGGTAACTAATAATTTTTAAGTTTGTTGTTTTTGTAATAATTCAATTATATGTTTATTTTACTATTTTTATTCTTGAGTTCTAAAGTTCTAAATATAGATTCCTAATCCTAAGTATAAAGGTTTTCAATAAGATTTTTCTTCTGATTTTTATAAACTAGCTTTATTAATTTTTGATATTATTATTTTCAATATATTTTTAATTTAAAATAATGTAAAGTAAACGATTAACTTCTTATTTTGGAGCCATAATCTTTTTTGTTAGAAATCTTTGTATGGCTATAGTTAAGTAAGTGTTAAACATTTTTGTGATTGTGGTTGGCTTTTTTTTCCAAACACCATAAAAACATCATATCATTAATTTTTTACTCAAATAACTGTTTCACCTGCATTTAGAACATCAAAACACTGTATTTCATATAATTTACAAACTCCATGTAGGGATGGCAAAAATCCCGAAAATTTTTAATCCTGGGATTTTGAGATTGAGAAATTTGTCCCCGGGAAATCCCGGGATTGAATAGAAAAAAATGCAAACACAATTGAATACTTTGTAAGCACTCATCAAACACTTAAAAACGATTAATTTAATGATAATATAACTAAAATATCTAATACATAAATGAACCTCTAAAATTAAGTTGAATCATGTTTTAACTTAATTTTGTATTAAAACTAGGGATTGCAATCCCGCATTGCATGATCCCGCAATCCTGCGGGATCCCACATTATTTTAGCGCATGCGAGATCCCGCAAAAACTACTGCGGGATCCGCAGGATTTGCTGCGTTTTGAAATTATTGCTTTTAAATAAAAAAAAACAATTCTATAAACAAAGACAAAAAAGATATCAAATTAAAGTATTTAATGTATTTGCATAACAAATTTATTTAAATGTTTACTAGTCATTAAATGCACAATAAAATGTATGCTGAGAAACTCGTTCAAATTTTTTTTTGTTTTGTTAATGATTAGTCATAAAATAGTTATTAAGTGCACAATGAAATGTATACTGAGAAACTCGTTCAAATTTTTTTTGTTTTGTTAATGACTATGTTGAAATTTTTGTTAATGAGTATATTGAAATTTTTGTTGATGAGTTAAATTGAAAACGTGATTAATAAAAAGCGCACTACTTTTTAAAAAGACTTCAAAAATTATTTACATCAAGATTTTAAAACAAAAGTACCTACTAAGCATGTCGCAAATTAAAACTATATGGAATTATTTTAAAAAAAGTAATGAAGGAGAAATGCGCATGCAAGTGCATGTTATGTTCGGCTATTTTAAAAATTAGTCAAAGATCAACAAAAGGGTTATTAATCCATTTAAAAACTAAACATGGAACTGGTTTAAAATTAAACGTTTCACAACAAGACGGAGCTTCAACTTCAAAACAGCATGAATCAGTTGAATTAGAGTCTAAAATATACATCGACTGCGAAGGCGAAGAGGTAATTCTATCAAAAAAGGTCAAAACAATAGACACGTTTTTCGTAAAAGAACTTTCTATGGAAAAAATGGTATCGCGCATGGTTGCTAAAGATGGCTTTACATTTAGTAGTTTTTGCAAATCTTCAGATTTGCGGTATTTGTTTTCAAAGAGTGGTTTCCGGCTCCCTACTTTACCTAATACTATAAGATCAATGGTAGTAAAATTCTCAGATTCTGTAAAAGCCAATATAATGCAAAAATTTATATCACTAAAAAAGCAAAATCAAAAGTTTTCAATAACGTTTGACGAATGGACATCACAAAATAGTCAGAGATACCTTAACTTAAATGTACATATGGAGGCAAAACACTTTAATCTTGGATTGATTCGAATCCATGGATCGTGTAATGCAGAATATTGCATCAAGTTAGTTGCAGGAAGGCTAAATAGCTTCAATATCGACCTCCAAAAAGACATCGCCATGACCACTGATGGAGCAAGTGTGATGGTGAAAGTTGGTAAAATGATGTCTTGCTATCATCAACTATGTTATGCTCATGGAATACAACTTGCAGTTATTGATATCTTATACAAGAAAAACAATAGAGAAGTCAAAGAATCGTTTACTACAAATGAAAATTGCGAAGAAGAAGATGAACATGAGAACACTGATGATGATGAAGTTATAAATAAAGAATATGGTTTGACAATAATTTTGGACCGACCATCTGCTGAATTGGTTTGCAATTACAAAGATCTCATGAAAAAAGTGAGAAAGGTTGTGAAAATATTTAAAAACTCTCCTGTCAAAAATGATACACATTTACAGAAGTATATCCTACATGAACACAGCAAAAAGCTTAAGTTGATTCTTGATTGTAAAACTAGGTGGAACAGTATGTTCGATATGTTAGAAAGATTTCATAGACTAAAAGTGTGTATTGAAAAAGCCTGTATTGATGTTGGGTCAGAAATTCGTTTGACCCAAGAAGAATTGGTCCCAAATAACTTAATTATTTGTCAAGCACCACTAAAACTTTGTCTCGAACTATTATGCAGGAGAGAATTGAACCTTGTCACTGCGGAAACAACTTTTAAATTTATGTTAGATAAATTACAAAAGCAATCATCACTTTTGAGCATTGATTTAGCCGCGGCACTTCGTGAGAGGTTTACACAACGTCGTAATAAGAATTTAAATGGACTACTGGTTTATTTATAAAATCCTAAAAAATATGAACAAGAAATTAAAAAAAATGAAAATACTTTTTCAATGCCAAAGAGAACTGTTATGCGTCAAGAAATAAAAAAAATATTGACAAGAGTTTATACAATTGAAAGAAATAAAGACAAAGAAAATGAACTCGAAGAAAAAGAAGCTGTAGATTCTATTAACAATTCCCAAATACTTACTCCTACAATTCTATCGCTGAAAAAAGAATTGGAAAATCATATACAGAAAGACAAGAAAAGCTGGATAGAAAATGTAAAGGTACCAAATTTAGATTCTTTAGACTTAATTATTGAATAAATTATTGAAGCAGGAAATGTCTGCCTATGAAAATAACGGAGTAAAAGGCAAGTTTCTAGATATAGCTCATAATTACTTGATGACCATATCACCAACAAGCCTAGAGGCGGAGCAAGCTTTTTCAGCTGCTGGCTATATATGCAGTCCTTTGAGGAGTAGATTATGTGATGATACTTTGAGTAGGGTCTGTTTTTTAAGAGCGCATTTCTTATAATGATACTTTCTCATACTTATTTTTAAAAATAAGTAAAGCTAAAAGACGATTTACGTAAAGCTAAAAGACGATTTACGTAAAGCTAAAAGACGATTTACGTAAAGCTAAAAGACGATTTACATAAAGCTAAAAGACGTTTTACGTATTTTTATCTTATCCTTTTGTTCATTAAATTAAAAATTATATTGATTTACAAATGAATTGTGTTTTTGGCTTCATTTACCTCATCTTATCAATTTAATAAGTTGAGTATATTTTTTCTGAAATAATTGAAAGAAAAATACAATTATCATTTTGCCTTTTATAACGTGCATAAGAAATCTACCAATCCTGCGCGGGATCCTGCGGGATCTGCACATAAATTAAAAAATCCGCGCGGATCCCGCAGGATTGAAAAGTGTGCGGGATTGCAATCCCTAATTAAAACTTATCTAAGACTTTTAAAAATTAATAAACCTAAATTTTGTAAATTATAAAACAATACTTTAAAATGGTAACACAGTATAAATAAAAATTAAAAAATAATATAAATATGCATGATGTTAACAAAAACTTTCGTAAATCACGGATTTTCATAAATCACAAATTTGAAAATTAAAATGAATGAATATAAAAATGGAATTAAAATCGCGCATACTTTTGGATGCAGAAAACTCAAAATTCTTTTTACCAGCAAGCGCTTAAATTTTATTTATTTTTATGATGTACTAGTTTTAATATTATATTATATATTATATATAGTATAATATTAAAACTAATATATTATAAAAAATAACAAAAATATAAGCGCTTGCTGGTGGAAAAAGCAAGAGTTTTTAATAAAAGTTATACATTAATTTTATTTTATATATTTTTAATTTTAATTATATATATATAAATATATAAATATATATATATATATATATATATATATATATATATATATATATATATGCACTTACTAAAGCGTATTTTTATAAGCTTTTGCTCACTTTTTTTGCTTACCTTAATCCATACGGCTTTTTTTAAAAAAAAAAAGAAAAAATCGAAAAATGATGAATGAAATGATTGCCCCATCCCAAACCCTCAGTCAATGTAGCAGCACTCCACTGCGAGTCAGGCTATTTGTCAGTCGATGTATGTATCAAAGCCCCCAGCAACAGGCTATTTCAGTATGACGTCAGGTTGCTTACCTTAGTACGCAATACTATTTGTATATATATATATATATATATATATATATATATATATATATATATATATATACATATATAAACTTTGGTATAGTAGCTGTTTGGTTGTGTATATATTTATTCTCTTTGCAATGTTTTCTTTTTAAAATTCTCTTTTTCTGTGTTTTATTAGAACAAAAAAACTCAGAACATTATTGCTTGTCTGCAAAATGTATATATGTTTATATATATATGTTTATATATATATATATATATATATATATATATATATATATATATATATATATATATATATATATATATATATATATATATATATATATATATATATAAACATATATATATATAAACATATATATATATATATATATATATATATATATATATATATATATATATATATATATATATATATATATATATATATATATATATATATATATATATATATATATATAAACATATATATATACACAACCAAACAGCTAAATATATACACAACCAAACAGCTACTATACCAAAGACGATATAAAAATTATTAAGCTACAATTATAAGCTTAAACTTTATTAGCTTTTCCTTTTTTTTTGACGATCTCGAAATCCCGGGAAATTTTGGAGACTAATCCCAGGATTTCAGGATGAACAATTTCTACAAAATCCCAAGATTGCCATCCCTAACTCCATGTCTGTAAACAAATTTGCATGGTTTGATTACCTTTTGTTTAAATTAAATGTTTAAAATTAAAACTTAAGTTCAAAATAACATTTAATAGTTATTATTTATTAAATAGTTTATTTCTTACATTCATGAATACATTTAGTTCCTGTTCTAACATATTTAATATAATCTTGTTATAAAAGTGTGTAAAAACAAAAAAACTTAAATAAATATTTGCAAGGGTTGAGTTGACAAAAGAATTTTATTTCAGACAGCTATTTTTTTACTTAAATTAAACAAAATAGAAGCAGTATGACCGATTAAGAATCTCTTTAACGCAAATTACTGTAGACTCCTTGGTCTCCAATATCAAAAGGAAACTACAGAGTCGGCTAAAGCTGAAATAACAAGTTTTAAGCTGAAATGAATTGACTGGTCAAGTTTAAAATACATTTAGTAGAAGAAGACAAATGGATGCAATCTTCGCAAGATGATTGTTTATTCACACCAGCAAATTTTTCATTACTATTTTGGCTATTACTTGAGTCTTTCAGTATTATTTAAATAGTTTAGTAAAAATGTTATATATATAAATATTGAAAAAAATTATTGTTATTTAAAATCTTGGTGTAAAACCTTTATTACATATAGATTTTATGTTGTTGTATGTTTTGACTGTGCAAGTATATGCACTGAAATATATTTGTGTAGTTATTTATGAAATGTGTCCTTTGTCTGATGTCCTTGATGATGTTAATTAATCAACCAGGAAGTCAAACATGTGTTATAGAAATGAATGTTATTATATATATCAAATAATATAGATATGAATGAAAAAAAACTTGTTGAACATGTTGAATCATGTGTCCTTTGTAACATGTTGAATCATGTGTCCTTTGTGTATTATATTAACATTTGCTAATGTTTTACACTAAAGTTATTAAATTTTTTATGAATCTTAGATATTAATAAATTACTTTAAATAATTGGTATGTAACATGTGTTATTCTATTAGTTGTTGTTACTTTGTATCCTTGGTATTTATGCTGTGTTATGTGTTGCCCTTGTCTTTATGCTGTCTAACAAAATCTCATAAACCATATGTCTCAAGATAATTTAGTTAAAAAAAGTTTTAAGAAAAATATGTGTGTTAATATATAAGTATATGAAAAACAGGCGTGTCAAATATTTTGTCATGCTATGTGTTTTTAATGTTTTTTGCATGTATGCACAGTGGGTCCAGAAGGTTTTCAAACATATCAAAATATCTCTTTGGTTTTAAAAACATATGTTCATGAGATTTACTTGAATGCTCATTTGAACCACAATCTTGGTATAACTTTGCAGTATGTGAATGGAAAATTCGGTGTAAACTCAAGGATCTGATCTCTCTAAAAGATGACTCATTACATTTGTAAGTTGTTCTAGATGTGATGTCTTACAAGAGAGAATTTTTAAATAGTTTTTAATATCTTTGTTGTTTGCTGCAAGACCTTCCTCCGATAAATTGCCAAGGCCATACCCATCATTAAGAATTATTAACTCAGCTGTATGATAAAGGACTCCATGAAGAGTGTGATTAATTTGTGCCCATGGCATATTTGTAATAATGTTATGTGTAGCATTATTGCGTAACTCTTGAAATTTGTCTATTTTAATTTTATGCTGACAAGAAACTATATGAAGTATTAAACTGATTTGAGAATGTAGTAGTAACATGTAAGTAGTAACATGTCTATCTTTGTACATAGGAGAGCATAGATCTTTTATGCTAGAAATTTGTTCTACGGAAAAAAATCTACAGTCTTGTGACCCTGTTGTAGATGTCCTTCCCTTCTCACCAGAGTTGCAACACATATCTAATTGCAGCCCAGTGTTTTCTTTTATTTTAGTAATAACCATGTCTTTTGCATTATGTATTGGTTCACTAAGTAATCTAGTTTTGTAACCTAAAGTCTATAATCTATATGACACCAATAAATTAGTTTTAAAAACCAGGTAGTGCTATTTATATATGAATATGTAATATATATGCTTTTCTGATCAGATTTGGTTTGTGGTTTTTTAGTAAGTCATTTTCATGTGGTAAAATCTCCAGTTTTAGTTAAAATGATACCAACCTTATCAACTAGCTTTTCATACAGAATCCAAGTTTCTTCTGATGATTGATTAATTGGAAATCTTTCACTAACTCTCCTAATATCTGTCCATTCAGTATTTTTTGTTTTACAAAGTATACAATCTGCACCTCCTAGTTCGCTAATGAGTTGTTTAAACATTAAATCCTTCATTGTATCTTGAATATAAATTTTGACATTGATATAATTTTTGCCAAATAGACAACACATTTCTTCAGCATTTAACTCTTCTCATGCGTTATCAGTAGTTGGGACAACAAGATCAAGCAAATTTTGATTAGTTTCTGTTTCTCTTATCAAAAACTCAGGACGTAATGATCTTGATGCATTTCGTGAATAATTTTGCCACAAAGTCATATTTTTACTATCTAGATGGCATATTAGTTTCAGAGGAATATGACCATATTGAAACATATTTGATTTGCTTTCAATCATTTCTTTTGATTTCATTGATACTTGTTGCCCTGCTCCATCACAACCATTCTTAAAAGACATCTGATACTCATCGCCATCTACTGGAATAAAAGAATCTTTAATTATATTCAAAACAGAATCATTTGTCATTTTTACAAGCTAAGCTTTACAAGTATTTAACAGAAACACCTCTTCGAGTCAAAACATTACTAATTGTAGGGCGCAGTTTTTTCTTTCTCAAGCAATTCATTAGTTGTTGGAAAATATATGTCCTTTTAAACAAAAAGAAATCTTAATTTTCTCATTTGCTCTTTACTTAATGCAAGAGAATACTTAATGCATTAGAGCAATAGATTCATCTATGCTAAAGATATCTGTTGTATCCATACGGTTTGTATAAATAGCATTTTCAACACGAGCAATACTTTTATTATTTTGTGTGTTTACTCTATGTAAGAGGTAACCCAACTGGTTAACATGTAACTCTGCGCACTCATTAGTGATAAAGTTGTTTATATAATTGAGAAGTTCCTGTGTCCTCTCCTTTTTCATCTTATCATCCAGTTCTATAAAAGATTTTCTTTGTTTTGAAAAACACGGTTCTGCTATGTAAACATCCTCTACTTCATAAATAATATCTTTTGATGCTTGTAAAAGTATAAATGCATATCCATTTTTCTTGAAATGTTTATCTTTCAGGCATTTATAACGTTTTCATGTTTTTTCACACACATTTTCAAACTCCAGTGAACTAACTGATAGTTCAAAATTTTTATAAAGTATTTCTTTAATGGCTGAATGTTACTGAATTTGTCTTAACAGTTTTGTTAGCTTTAATAAATTGTGTGAATAAATCCATTTCTGTGAATGTATTTTACATTTTTATTTTTATTCATTACATTTATTTTTTATTTTTATTTACTTCTGCTGAAACAAATACAAAATCAAATTAAATAATCAAATAAAAAATATAAAATTTTCATATTTGTAACCAAAAATAAAATATTCACATATTTTAAGAAAAAAATAATAATCACTGTTCAACTTTTTGAAATCATGTAAATAAAAAAAAGTGCTAACTTGCCTCAGTTCTATTTAAAATATTTGAAAAGAAATGTTAAATATTTTATAAATGTATGACACAGTAGAGGGATGTTTTGAAAAATTCTAAGATATAATCTAATTTTTTGTAAAAAGCAACATAAATATATAACATAATTACATAATTAAGTTTTAAAAGCTTTGAAGAAAAAAATTTAAAAAAAAAACAGCATATTTTTAATTTATTTATTCAAAAATATTTTAAATTAAAAAAATATATATATATATATATATTCCGTATTAAATTAAAAATAACTTTTACATAAGTGGTTTATCAATTTTTATGTTGGTAAATTCATTTTGAATGGAAACCAACCGAATTTTTATGTCGGTAAATTCATTTTGAATGGAAACCAACCGAATTTGCTAAACTTTTTTAGATTTTTTTAGAAAATTGGAAATTCATCAACTTCAAAATTGTATTTCATCACTTAGAAATAAGCTAGAAACATAATTTTTTTTATCCACAAATTTATCTGATTTACTGAATAAATAATTTTTTTAGACTTTCTCTAATAAATATTTTTTTGTCTATTTCCACCTCTGGGCCCACTGGCATGATATTTATCCAATTGAACAATAATGTATCATACATGTTGGTGACTATTTATAATCAATAGAACATTAAAAGTTAAGCATGACTATGTCCTAAGCATCACTATGTCCTTTGCCTATGGTTTGGTGTTATTGGTGTGTCCAACCGAGGTATGGTGAGGGACAAAACAATAAAAGTTATAATATGCCAGGGTATAGTGAATATTTGCTTTTTAAGCGAGAAAAAGATATGTTTTAATTACACAATTATACTTTTAAAAAGTTCGTACAAGGTTTTTATAGCAATATTTTTTTCGTTTTTATTTGGTTTTGTCAAGGTATAGCCAAAAAAAATTATATATTACATATGCGCCCTATTTTCCATTAGGTAGGACTGTTGCCAAAAGATATTTCTTTTCAACATTTTAAAATAAATTTAGATCCTTTATCTTTAATGTTGCAGCGTAAAATTAATTTTCTGATGTCAGTTTTTTTACTTTTTTTATATTTTTTTAATAATAATGATTTTGTTTTTTAATAATTTTTATTAAATTAATAATATCTTTTGTGTATTTTACTATTTCTATTTTTTTTTTCTCTAGAAAATTATCATTATCTTCATAGTAAGTGAATTCAATTTTATGTTTTATTGATGTTATTAGTTTTTTTATTGATGTTATTAGTTTTTTTTTGATGTCATTTTTAATCTTTTTTTTTATTATTATTATTATTACTCAAGTTTAAAATTCTCATCACTGGTAGACTGGAACCAAATTTTGAAGAAATAATAAAACTGTTTAAAAAGTAAATGAACATGTGTGGGTATTAATTTATTGTGTTCTCATAACAGCTCAGAAAAAAAATCCAGTTCTTATTACAAAATTAAAATTGTTTACTTGTATAGTAAGTTTTTTTCTAAAAAAAGATTTTTTAAAGAAAAATCCCAAAGCAAAAAAAAAATAGTTGTTTAGTAAAATAAATATTTATTAGAAAATATTTTCTTGTTCAATAAATGGTTTAAAACGATAATCAAGTCGAACCTTTGAAGACCAAAAAATCTTTTAATAAAAATTTCCTAATATTTTATTCATCATATTATATAAATTAGTTTATATACAAGAAGTTTTATATTTTCAGTAAATAACTTCTTAAACTCTTGTTTTGATTAATTATTTTCTTAAAGTAAATTAAAAAAAAAAATTAATAAAATTTTGATTTTTGACAGTGTAATTCATTTGTGCATATAATGTAGCTCTTTTGTTCATATAAAGTAATTCACTGGTGAAGATTGATTAAATATTCTAGTAGTATTAACAGTGATTATTATGTTGTCTTTAGAGTGATACATTAGGCGTCGGTTTATATTCTGACAGCCGATACTAATACAAATAATTTCTTTTTAATATTTTAAGTCATTTTTGAACATGTTTAAGCATTTTGTATTTTTTGGACTCAAACAGTAATTTCTTGGTGTTGTTCTCATACATTTCTATACTTGCCTTTTAATATCAAGTTGTCTTTTTAACGAAGTGCTTAATACAAATAATTTTTTTTAAAGGCATGATAAGAGGGCTGAAAAATGCAAATTTAGAAAATGAAAAACGAGGGGTTGAGCAAAAGTACTATGACGTAATGCATCAATATATTGCAACTAGACTTGGTCGACCTCTGGATCGAATGAGTGTACTTTTTTTTTCATTAATTCACCTATTTCAAATACTTATGGTCTCATATTAAATGGTGTATTGGTTTTCTTTTTCAGAGATTTTTTCAGGGAGTGGAGTCGTGTATCAATTCTGGTGTCAAAACTGAAGATATTGGTTACCAGATCGCTCTAAATCAACAAGAACTTAAAAACGTTATAAAAGAATATCCGCCAAAGGAGGTATTCATAGTTAACATAGCAATATTATTTTTTCTTTAACTCTTCTTTTCTATACTTTTTTCCTTTTAGGTCAAAAAGGGTTTAGAAGTTCTTTACCGAAAAATTGAAAAGTATGTGACTGAAGCTGGACTGACTCAGGTAGCAATTTGTGTAATTTATTGATTGATTACAATTAGATTTCTACATTTGTATACGTACTAAATACTATATTCATAGGTACTGTGGCATAACCTGCAAGAGGCTTTTGTTCGCCAATATGAGCGTTACCAAGAGCTTGTTAATCTTTGTTATCCAAATTCAAATATAAAACTTCCAGTGACAATTGAAGAAATATTAGAGTTTTTTTCAATTATTGCTCAATCTCATTAACGACAATCTTAACTAAGATTTCTTTGTCATCAATAAAGCCGATTCCTAAAGTTCTTAAAATTATCTAAAATCGTCGCTAATGAGAAAGTTGAAGTTTTTAAGTACTCCCAACACTTGTAATTGATATTAAAAAAGTTCTACTGTATGTAAAAAATTAAATTTCTCTGTTTTTTTTACTAAGTCTGCTCTGTTTTTATATAATCTGTTGTTTTCTTAATAAAATCTTCTGCTTTTTAAACTTATAAAACCGTAAATAACTAAATTACTCCTCTTTCTCAAGCCTTATCAATTTTTATAGCATTAACTAAATATGCATTTTAAAAAAAAATTATTTAGTTTTATATATTTTTAATTTTGTAAAAAAAAAGTGAAAAAAATTATTTTTTTGAAACGGAGAATGTTTTTATTTCGTAATCTAGATTTACGATGAGATTTGCAAACCTCTTTGTAAACTTCTTTAAAAATGTATTTTGTTATTGTTCTAATTTACATATAATGGTAAATAAATAGTAAATATTATAAAAATTAAAAAATATATAGTAAATATTATAAAAATTAAAAATTTTTGTTAAGAAAATTTTGCAAAATAGCTTTTTAAAAGCTAAATAAATAAAAAAATAATAAATCCTTTTTTCAAAAAGTAATGCAAAGTATAGTTTACAGCAAAGTACAACCTGAACAGATATAACAATGATAATGATATTGCATACCATTTAATTGCATACCAGACTAAATAATAGCATTAAGGTGGTACTTGGGTGAAAAAAATGTAAAAACTGAAAATTTCAAAGTGAATGTTTTGAAGTCAATTGAGCTATGTAGAAAACGACCATGTAATTTGTTTCATTTAAAAGAATTAAGATAATACCTAACTTTTCATTTTTAAAAAAGGCACTCTTTAACTCCAAACTCGACTTCCGTAGTAACGCCCATAGCAACCAATTTTGATTTATTGAAAGCTTCTAAAAATATGTGTAGAAACTTTGTTGGTTTGTTGGTTGGTTTTGTTGGTTGGTTGGTTTGCTTTAAAGTCATTAAAATATTTTACAGAAATTTAAACTTCATGCAAAAAGTCACCAATTTAATAGATGTGTTATATGAGGTTTTAATTGTTTAAAAATTGAAATGCTGCAAGTGAAATAATATTTTTTTATGTTTTTAATCATGCTTTATTTGATTTAGTTAAATGGTTTTTATCTTTTTCTATTGTAGTTGAGCTTTGTTATAATTAAATTAATTGGGTTTTATTTGTTACTATTTTCTTTTTTTGTTCAAGTTATTTAATTATAATGTTCATTATTAAAGAACAACAACAATGAAAAAAAATGGAGCTTAGTTATACTTTTTTGTTATTATTTTTAGTTGTAATAATAATAAATAATAAAAAAGAGTAGACCTATGTTATAAAGAAAGTCTGGCTACTCAAAAGCATTTTCTAAACGGACAATCAAAAGTAACCAACAAACAAATAAACAAGAAGAACCAGGTGAGATTTCTCCTTCTAACCCACTTATTCTTTCTTCTGGAAAGAAAATAAACTTATCATATTTATCATCAGGTATATTATTATCTTCTAAAATCACTAATGAAGCTAGACCAATAAACTTTGCATCATCTTCATTCACCGATGACACCAGGTTATTAACCTGTGTAAATTCTTCAAACCCAACTGTAAATTATCAAATTTTTACACTTTTTTCTACTGATATTTTTATGAAAAATATTAGTTTATTTGCAACATGCCCTGATTGACAAAAATGATGACAAAAAGACTATTAACTAACATTTGACGTCTTGAGAAAGCAAGGCTTGTCTATACCATTATTGTTACAATGTTCAAGTTGTAGTTGGTGTGCAGTCTTTCATTTTAGTAAAGAATGGGAATGCAAGAGTAGTCGTGTAGACCTCTGTTTGAGGTTAATGTACGTCTAGTTATTGCTATGAGGAAAATTGGAAAAGGTTATACCAGTTTAAAAAATCTCTGTGGATGAAAATAGCAATTTGACCAGTGCTTTTCCATTGCTCTTAAGCAAAAGATATTGAAAGAAGGCATCAAATGTGCCCACGTACTCCTAATAGTTGGTGTAAATATCAGACTGACAAAATAAATGGCACAGCAACGTACAAACATAAGGGAGGAATACCAATTGTTGTCCTTGAAGAAATAAAGCCTGTTTTTTTAAGTTTGAACGATGACATTTTATTAAAAAAATGTCTTTATGGCAAAACTCAAAATAACAATAAGTCCAAAAGATATCTGCGTTTGTAAAACCACTGTTGAGCTAGGTGTAGCTTCTACAGTTATGACAGTTCAACTGGAATTCAAAAGTTTTTAGAGGGCTTAGGTGTTGTTCCAGAATTTTATGCAAATGAGTTTTGTTTTTCAAACAACAACCAAAGAGGAATGTCGATGGAAAGGAAATGGCTTGATATTGTTAAGTAACAAGGAAAGCGTACTCATGGAGTTCATAAAGGTTTCATAAATACTAATGAAATGAAGTATGGTTATGGTTTATATTAGAAAGATTTCTATTAATTTTTATTTATGATGATCAATCATGGAAACCATTTTTTTTATTGAATCTATAGAAGAAATTTAGTGATATTTTAGTATATTATTACGTAAGTTGCATTTATTTCAAAATTGAAATTTTTAGACGGTGTGTCATATAACTTTTGATTGATTCGAGTTTTACACTTGAAATTTTATATCGTGGTTACATTTTATAAGATACAGGTACCAACATTTTTTGAAAAAATATTTTTCGGTCCAGAGTTACCCAAGCCCAAAGTTTTATTTTGAAGCTTTTTTATAAGTCAGGTATTTAAATTTTATTTATCTTAAATCTAGTTATACAATCAGGCTAATTTTGCTCCCATACCTGTAAAATTTTACTATAAATAAACTGAAAATTTTGTTATCATTCTACAGGTGGTTTTTTCTAAATTTGACGCACCGCAAAGTGACAATTTTGAGACCCAAAAAAGGGTTTTCTGTAAATTTTTTTTTAAAGGCTTATTCACCTGTGTATAATTGTTTTACCAAAATATCAAATTTAAATAGTAAGAAATAAAGAATTTGGGTTTTTAACCCAAGTACCACCTTAAAGGATAGCGTTAGAGTAGTTGTCTATATACACTGTCCCCCATAACCAAAAAAGCTCTGAAAAAACGCTTTTCCTAAAATAAAAAACTTTTTTAAATAATTATAAAAAGATTGTGATCTAAAAATTTTTAGATATGTTAATTAGAGGTGAATTGAGAATATATTTATATTTTGTCCTCACTTGTTTGACTCTTGTCTGTGTTTATTTTTTTTATGAACATGAAAGATTTGTAAAATTGTACTGTTTCAAAACCAAGGGAACTTTTTATTTTTAAACAAAAAATCATTGAAGGTTATGATAATGAAATTACAGAAGTGATTTATGTAAAAGGTATAATAAAATTAAAAGCAGTTACAATTACTTAATAAATGTAAAACGAAGGAATTGTTGAAACTGAGCACTTAGGTGGACGACCGAAAAAAAGTTCTCTACACACTGATCGTAAATTTATTAGGTATGAAAAAAAAATCCATTTGCAAGTGCGAGAGGTACAGTTAATAAATTTCATCTAAATATTTCAGAAAGTACTGTACGAAGACGTTTGGATAAAGCAGGATAGTATAGTTATCGTGAACAAAAAAAACATATCTGCAAAAAACCGAAAAGTATGTTTAGAGTTTGCAAAAGCTCACAAAAGTTGGATAAAAGAACAATCGAGAATAATATTATGATCAAATGAGTCTAAGTTTAACATAAATGTTTTAGATGGTTAACGAAGTGTTCAAAGGCCTGTTGGTAAACGATTAAAACCAATATACACTATAGGAACCTTAAAAAATGAAGGTGGCAAAAGCTTTATGGTTTCGGAGTGCTTTTCAAAAATTTCTAGATTGAGACCGCTATGTCGAATTCAAGGAATAATGGATAAACACATATATAACAAAGTTTTAAAGCATCACATGTTACCTTTTGTAGAAGAAACAATGCCTCTGAAGTGGACATTCTAACAAGATAATGATTCAAAACACACATCGAAACTAGTTAAAGGATGGCTTAAAACAAATGAAGCTGATGTAATGCAATCTTATGACCTGCACAACCTCCTGACCTAAATCCTATCTAGAATTTATGGAAATAACTTGATGACAAAGTACGTTTGCTACTTTGTCAACGTACGGCAATGCAAAAGAATCGTATAAAAGACTTCATAATGCCTGGTTACAAATGAAACAAGTTGAAATTGATAAACTTATAGATTCTATGCCTCATAGATGTATTGAGGTTATTAAAAACGATAGATATGCTATCAATTATTGATTTTATATTTGGTGTGTAATTGATTGGAAATTTTGAATTTCGACCAAAACCGAATTTAGCGAAATTGTTAATGAAATTCCGGATTTGCCTAAATTGTAATTAAATTCCGACCGGAATAAGAATTATATTTATGTAATTTTATACTTTTACCATTGAAAGTGAAAGCCTGCAACTAAGGATCGTGGCTATATAATATATAATTATAACCTATAATATATATATATATATATATATATATATATATATATATATATATATATATATATTCTCAGAGGTCGGTAACATTGTTGATTAAAAAATAGCTAGTTTGTTGCCCAAATGTTTTTTCATTGCCCTGTAGGACAATGAGTTTTAAATTTAATTTACACAGTTTGTGTAAATTAAATTTAAAATGTCTTCAAAAAAAGGTCTTTAAATCAAATGTCTTCAAAAAAAGGTAAAAAATAAATTCCGGCATTCCGGCCTGAAATTTTATAATTTCAGCCGGAAACGGAATGACCAAAAAGCTACAAATTCCGGCCGGAATTTGTAGCTTTTTGGTCATTCCGTTCAAAAGCATACAATTACATCCCTAATTATATGCTTTTGATGGTGCATTATTGAATTATTTAATATATTTGTGCTCCTTTGAAGTATTTTTTTGCATTTGATTAATATGAAATATTGTTAAAAGTTCCTTTAGTTTTAGAATTTGAAATAATAGTTTTTTTTATAATAATAGTTTTATTCATTGTTCATTCTCAGAGGATTATCATTCAGCGGGTCAGACAAATAACTATCAATACGCAACACAAATTTTATTGGAAGTATTAAGCTATTAGTAAAATTTTCCTTTCCTTGCCCAACACTTGATAATTCATGTAAATAAAGGTTGTATCTCGTACTTATCTAAAGACATTTGTGAAGAACTCATACACTTAATAGCCACCAAGGTTATGGAATTTATTGGTAATATGATCATCTTTAAGTAACATGTTTACTTAGTTAGCGAAATTTGTTTACTTAGTTATTTCTCAATCATCGTTGA